GAGGGAGGGGGAGGGAGGGAGGGAAGGAGGGAGGGAAGAAGGGAGGAGGGAGGAAGGGAAGAAGGGAGGAAGAAAGAAAGAATGGAAGGAAAGAGAGAAAGAGGGATTGAGAGGAGAGAGGAAAGCAGAGGGGAAGAGGGGAGGAAAGAAATGTTAAGCAAGTGACGGAACCAATAAAAACCAAAGTGTCATTTGCAGCCACAGAACTTTAACTGAGTCCAATCTATTGCTACTTGATTTGCCACTTAAATACACACATATACTTGACAGCTTGACATTTGTCTGTCTAATTATTACAGTGTGATGTATGGTGCCTTAGTTTATTTAAAATCTACATTAGCTTTTACACACCAGGACAAAAACTACTGATCTTGTGGACCAGAGAAGATATCTTAAAAGCCTCTGTGCATTGGGATTTATTGGTTTTTACTATTGTGATTCTCAATGATGTTATAACTCTGTAATCGAATTTTAGTTGTTTCAAAGTAATGCCTTTTGTTATTTAGATTATCATTTAAAATTTTAGAGATATACTATATCCCAAACCAGAAAATATAGTAAATTCAGTCAGTTTTCTCTCTTTGTTGATCTTTTCAGTAAGCAAACTAAAATGTTTTCTAATAGTTTTTTTTCGTCAGTCTCAACTATTCTCAAGCGGTACGGGTTTATATGATTGCAAATATAAATAATAAAGTGGTCTGTAGGGGTACTGACTCAGTTAATCAGTATTAGCATTAAGAATTGTTACTCTATAACAATAAAAAAGTCCACCTAATAATTTTATAAATCACTTTAGATCAACTACAACATTTTAATTCAGAGCTTCATCAGTCTTTTAGATCACGACACACAGATGGAGGATATTAGCTTTATTTTAAAAACTTAAGCTCAAAGAGTGGTAGTGTTCAACAGTACATATACGTGTGATTTATATTTGTTCACTTACTGCTGAAATTGAAATCCAGTAATGATAATATCAATGTTCATATGCCTGACAATATAAATAACATCCACAACTTCATAATATGTAATAAAATATTTTATTTGTATCCTTATACAGTACTCTGAAACTTGTCCAGCAATAACCAACACACAGAATTAGTGCCATGCAGTTTTCTCTTGGAAGCATATCTACGTTCTTACATAATAAATCATCATGAAATCTTTTAGAAAATTTTCACAAAGCATGTTGCTCCTATAGAGGGAGAGTTTCCACAAAGTCAACAATTGTTTCAATTGTCATTTAATCCATAACAGAAACACTCTAGAGACGTTTCTTAACATTTTAGAGGGTTTAAAGCCATGTTTTAAAATATGGTTATAAAATAATGATACCAAAGTAAAAGAATATATTTTTGTGGTCATTTTGAAACAGGGTGTCCCTGTAGAAGAACATATATTTTACTAACTAGGTTGCCACAATCAAAAATAGAGGGAGCACAGCATTGAACTCTGAAGCTGTAAGATGTTTACAAAAATTAAAGGTCCCCCAAAGTAAAACTTTAACTGTTTGATTTAGAAATTATTTTCTTCCATAAACAAATTTAAAAACAAATGTTTTCTTCAAAGAAAACACTTTCAAGGATGATTTTCTAGAAATAAATCTCAGTAATGACCAGTTGATTGTTTACACATTCTTATAGTTATTTTATTACCATTTAAATGGTAAAATAACACTGACAGTTTAATATAATATAAGATATAAATGCTTTTGAAATTTTTCAATATCCAAAGAAAATTGTTTTAATAATCTTCACTTAACAGCTTATACCATACACAAGAGTAAAATAAAAATAAGGATTCAAATGAAATACTATAAAATTGGTCCAAATTAATCTGCCTTATTTTCTGGGTTACTTAAGATCTTAAAATCTATCAAATGAATATTTTCCATGATAGAATGGCCCATAAAATGATGCTGATGTATTCTTAACAATGGATATAGCAAAACATAAACATAATAACTGATTTGCATATATCATGCCACTTTTAATTTATACTGGTTAATGCTGAAACAATTTCCAGAATGTTTTTTGCAAAAATATCTGTTGCATCTAGGATATGACTATCAATATCTTAAAACATTACAGTAAATTTGTTGGGTTAAATATGATTCCACAGTTTTTTGTGCATGACAGGTAAGAAATATAGTTAAATAGTTATAAAATTAGAAAAATTTTGCATAAAAAGCTTTTACATAAATTTCCTCTGTCTTTTCTTATTCTTTCCCATAATATATACATGTAATAATTTCACAAATAAATATCCCAATTTAATTTGCTAATGGTTTGAGATGGATGTTTCCATAAACTTCTACAGTGTGTGACTTTTTTATGAGATAGAATATTTTCTCCTAAAACAGTTTCTCTATTGAAGGCCTAATGTGAAGAAAAGCAGTAGGATAATAACTTCTTTAAAAATATGTCACAGTTTGATGAACACAGAGGAAAGGCAGGTGGCATATTATTTAACTGTTAGAGTCACCGTTTATGAATTTCAGTATTAAGTATCTGCTTTTTAATTCTTTATGAAAATTTAAGTAAAATATAAGTAGGTTTGAGTGATTGGCAAATCAGATTACTATGGAATTGTAGGTGCCTTTATTCTCATAGTCTAAATCGTAAGGATATTTCCAGAAACAAAAATGAAAATGGCAGTGTTTTAATTTTCCCCTTTCTTTTAGATATTTACTAGACTATACAACAGTGTAATTCTTTGAAATCCCTCCCCTCAGTAAGTACAGTCTAGGCGCAGGAGAGATGGCTCAGGGTCTAAGAACACTTGCTGTTCTTCCTGAGGACCGAGGTTCAATTCCCAGCAACCAGATCGTGACTAACAATACTCTGAAACCCCATTTCCAGTTCTCTTCAGGTCTCTGTGAAGCATTGCACAATGCAGGTGCACTTATACACAGACAAAACATTCATACACATAAAATAAAATTAATAAATAATAATTAAAAAATAAGCAAGCAGAGTCTATTTCCATATTCACTGAATTTGAGTTGACTCTGTGCATTTTGCTGTGTATGCCATTGCACTCTTGACATGTGTTAACCCTTATATGCCCCTCAAGCTTAGTCTGCTGTCAGCTTAAGCACCTCTTGTCTCTAACAACTGTCCAAATACGTAGATGAGAATTCACTGGCATCAACAAAATCAATCACTTTATTGCAGTCTAGAAACATGAGTTAAGCTATCAGCTGTCTGTAATTCAATAAGACCTGGTATGCTTTATTCATCAGGGTAATCTGAAACATTGTCCTTCACAGGTTTTATAAAACCTAGATGTTTCTGCTTAGAAGGAGCACTAAGACCAATCTCTTTAAAGCTGTTGCCTTTCATTAGCATTTCTATGTAAGCTCATCCTACTCAACTGAAAAGCAGTTAGAGCTACTTCTGAGTGAGACTTTGTAAGTTAGACTTTCACGAAGTATGTTTTGAAGATTTTGACCAGATGGAATTAGCAACGTAAACAATTGGCCTCTTGATTTAGGGCTTAAAATTCACAAAATCCTCAGTGTAAAGGGAATAGGGAAGAATACATAAATAAAGAAGTTCAGGACAAGCTTCAGGGGATGGCTTGTGCTGAGCAGGCTCTCTTAATCAATGTAAATAATCACCTACCCGATATTTTATTTCCTATTATTTGGACAGCTGTGGCCTAAATGAATTTAAAATGGTCTTATATACCATTTTAAATATAATTTTAAAACCATTACTTAATTTATTGCAAAATTTCAAATCTTTTTTCTAAAATTTCCAGTTATTATTACATGGCAAGAAAAGGATATGAAATATGAACCACACCATTAATTCGTTTTTGTTCTGTTTCAGAGAGGAAGCCTGCTGCTATAAGCTCAATGTATCAATGAATAAGCTCATCGCTGTGGAAGCCCTGATGTTTGTGGGCTTCCTGGGATGCTACAGGGCCATCCAGGAGTCCCAGTGCCTGCTGGGGATGTTCTTGCCCTGCCTTGTGATCCTATGTGCCTGTGAGGTGGCCGCTGGCATCTGGGGCTTTGTAAACAAAGACCAGATTGACAAGGATATGAAGCAGTTCTACGACCAGGCCCTTCAGCAGGTGGTGGTGAACAATGACACCAACAATGCCCAGGCTGTGATAAAGACCTTCCATGAGACACTCAACTGCTGTGGCTCCAACACGCTGACCACACTGACCACTTCGGTGCTGAGGAACAACCTGTGCCCCTCAGGCAGCAATATACTCACCAACATGCTTCAGGAGAACGGCTACCACATCCATGAGCTCTTCTCCTAGAAGCTGTACCTCATCGGCATCGCAGCCTTTGTGGTGGCTGTCATCATGATCTTTGAGATGATTCTGAGCATCATGCTGTGGCATCAGGAACAGCTCCATGTACTGAAGCCCTGTACTTCAGGTGACATTGACCCTGCAGTGCCCCAAGAGTGGCTGGAAGCCACTTTGGGGGTCAAGGCCTGTGTATGTAATATCAAGCACAGCTGTGGTTTGAATAAGAATGTCCCACAATAGGTGCCAAGTATCCAGAGACTTTGCCCCCAGTTGGTGGCACTGTTTGGGGGAAATCCTAGAAGGTGTGGCCTTATTAGAGGAAGTATGTCACTAGGGGCAGGCTTGGCAAGTTCTTAAGCCTTGCCAGATTTCCAGTCACTCTCTGTTTCCTGTGCCTGCTTAAAGATGTGACCCCTTAGCTTCTGCTCCAGTCACCTCTGCTGGCAATGCCTCCCCACCATGATAAACTCCTGCCCCTTTGTAAGCTACATAAACTCTTCATTTTATCAGTTCCCTTGGTCATGGTGTTTCTATTATAGCAACAGAAAAGTAACTACTACACAGATTGATGCAAAAGCTTCAGAAAATTCCATGGAAAGAACTATACCAAGCAAATGAGAGTTTATGGTCACAAATTCATAACACCTATAGCAATAAGGAATGCTTTGAAGAGTAGTTATCATACCTAAAGTGTATCAAGCATGAATTCTTTATTACAGTTGAAAGGATTGTCAAAAGTTCCTAAGATTTAGTTGGAACTTTTTACCTACTCCTCATGACAATATTGTGAATTTTTCTGCTTTGAGCTTGCATAGGACTTGTGCACGCTCTCAGCATTGCTGTCAGCTCATGTGAGTAATTGAGCAGCTATCTGGAAACTCCTGTTTCCTTGTGGTCAGCTACCACCTTACAATCTTTCTGCCTCCTCTTCCTCAATGACCCGTGCGCCTTGGGAGGCAGAAACTTGAAATAGGTGTCTTATTCAAGGATAAGCACTCCATGGCCTCTTGTACTCGGTACATTGGCCAATGTGGCTTTTTGTGTTAATCACCATCTGCTGCACAAGAAATTTCTATGGTGAAAGTTATGAAATGCATTGTGTGTATTAGAGGTTGCATTGAATTACTTCTATTTGATCAGTTCTGGAACACTATAATAGTTTCTATCTGTTGTGAAAAGCTTCTTTGGTGAGGAGTGTAAGGAATACTTGTCTGTGAATATAGAATAAAGTATGGAATTATGTTGGTCTAGGGATGGGGAAGGAGTAGGATTTCTTACAGGATCTATGAATCCTCTAGTCATTAGTAATTGTTTTTTTTTTTTTTACAGTACAACACACGAGTTTCTTCTCATTGAGTCTGCCTCAGTTTCAATTATACAGCTGTTGAATAATAATAATAAAAGTGCCACTAGTGCAACAGAAAAGTAACTATTACACCTGTTGATTCAAAGTATGGCAAAAGCCATACTCTAAGGGACAAGTCATTGTTGCTTATTAGGCTTTACAGCTTGGCAGGACCAGTGGTTGACTTTCACCCTTGGCAGCAGGTGTAGCACTTTTGATACTATGAGAGTTAGTCTTCAGGGAGGAGGCTTCCAGGTCAGTTTCAGCTCCATTGCTCCAAATCCGGGTCCCAGAAGTATGGGCTGTTTCAAGCAATAAGGTCTTATCTTCAAGTTCTGGGTGGCAATCAAGGACTGTGGAAATAGCCCGTGTTATTTTGGGAGTCTCTTAAACTACCCTGACCAACAACTTCAAGGGAGGTTTCTCTTGACTTGAATGGTTGTTTTGTTTTGTTTTTAATACAGGGTCTCCCACAGCTACAGCTAGCCTGGAACTCACTATGTAGACCAGGCTTGCCCTCGGGATCTCAGAGATCTGCCTATCTCGGCCTCACAAGTGCTGGGATTAAAGGCATGAGCCACTAGAGTCAGTATAAATAAGTTTTTTTTCTTTTCTGGGGGGTGGGGTAGGGGACATACAGCCTTCAGCGATATACATGCACTCACATATTTATCTTATGTTTATTTTTCAGTAGGACTTTGAACTAATGAATTTCCCTCAGGTTTTTCATACCATCTAAGCATTGGTTACCTCCCTTCTCACTACCCTTGTATAATACTCCCTCCACAATTAAAGTGCTGCCATTTTCCCAATTTCCCCCTTAATAGCACCTGTCTTCTACCATCCCCCACTCTGGAGCTGCTTCTTCCCCTTTATCCCCTTGGTTCCTCTCCATTTTCTCAGTTCCTGCGGTTATACCAAGATGTATACTCAGATTTATAGATTTGGAACTAAGCTCCAACAATGACAGAGAACTATGCCACTTGTTTGGCTGAGTCTGTGTTATTTCACTTAGTATAACAGGTTCTAGTTCCATCTATTTGCCTGCAATTTTCATGATTTCATTTTTCTTTACCACTGAGTAGAATTCCATTATGTAATTGTACTATATTTTCAATATCTATTTAGAAATTAAGTGGCATTTGGGTTGTTTCCGTTTCTTGGCTATTGCAAAAAGAACAGCAACAAACATCTCTGAACAAATTCATGCTGAATTCCACAGTAGCTGCACCAGGTTGCAATCCCGCCAACAATGGGTGAAGGTTACACTCCCCCATCAATGCCAGTGTTTGGTGACATTTGTTCTGTTAATTCTAGTACTTCTGACTAGGGTTAGGTGAAAACATGAAGTGATTTTGACATCCATTTCCCTAATTACTAAAGATGTTGAATATTTTCAAGATGTTTCTTAACCACTATTATTTCTTCTTTTGAGAGCTTCCTGTTTAGAACCATAGCCCATTTTTTAATGGGTCATGGGTTTTCTTGCTTCATCATTTTTTGCGCTCTTTATGTATTCTGGATATTAAGCATCTGTCAGATGAATAACTGGTAAAATTTCCCCCCCACTCTTTAGGTTTCCAATTCACTGGATTGGTAATTTCCTTTCCTGCACTGAAGCATTTTAGTTTAACAAATTCCCATTTGTCATTATTGACTTGAATTCCTGAGCAACTGATGTGTTATTTAGAAAGACCTTTCTAGGGGCTGGTCACTCAGCAGTTAAGAGCACTGACTGCATTTGCAGAGAACACAGGTTCAATTCCCAGCCCCCAGGTAGCAGCTAACTACTGTCTGTAGGTTTAGTTTCAGGGGAATCAGACACCCTCCTCTGACCTCTGCAGACATTGCACATCATGGGTGCATTTGCGTACATGTAGGCAATACACTCGTACACACAAAAAATAAAAAATAGCAAATAAAATATAAAAATAATAAATAGAAAGTCCTTTCCTGCACTTATGTCATGTAGGGAAATGCCTGTATTTTCTTCAAACAGTTTCAGTGTTTCAGACTTTACATTGAGATATTGGGTCCATTTAGAGTTGGCTTTTGTGCAGGGTGATAGGTACAGGTCTAATTTTATTCTTCTGCAAGTGGAGATCCAATTTTGCCTGCATCATTTGTTGGAGATGCTGTCCTTCCTCCAGTGTATGTTCCTGGCAACTTTGTCAAATGTCAGGTGGTTGTAGTTGTGGTCACTCATATTGGGGTCTTCTCCTTTGTCCTATTGATCTACAAGTCTGTATTTGTGCCAATACCATTGTGTTCCTATGACTACGACTCTGTAATATAGATTGAGGTCTGATATGGTAATCCTCCCAGTATTGCTCTTTGTGCTCAGGATCGTTTGACTATCTGGGGTCTCTTGTGTTTACATATGAATTTTGGGGTGGATAGTTCTATTTATGTACAGAATGTCACAGGGATTTTGATTGGAATTACAAATCTGTGGATTACTTTTGGTAGGATGATCATTTTCACCAAATTGAATCTACCAGTCCAGAAATCAAGGAGCTGTTTCAAATTTTTTGTGTTTTCCAAAGTCTCTTCAAAGACTGAACAAGTCTTTCATGTCTTTGATTAGGTTTATCTCTAGATATTTTTAAGGTTATTGTGAATGGAAGTGTTTTCCTGAACTCTTTCCCTGATTGCTTGTATTTGCATATAGAAAGGCTATTCATTTTGGAGATTGATTTTGTAACCTGCCACTTTGCAGAACGAGTTGATCATTTCCAGAATTTCTCTGGTGACAATTTTAGGGTATTTTATGTATCATATCTTATCATTGGCAAATAAGGAAAATTTGACTTTTTGTTTTCTAATTAGTACCCTTTTAATTTTCCTCTCTTGTCCTATTGGTCTACGTAGAGTTTCAAGCTCTACACTAAAATAAGTGGAGAGAATGCATAGTCTTGTCTTTTTTCCTGATTTTATTCAGAATGTTTACAGTTTTTCTCAATGTATAATGATATTGGCTGTGAATTTCTTGCATATAGTTCTAATTATGTTAATGTATTTTTTTTTTTTTTTGTACAACTCTCTTTAGTGCTTTTACCGTAAATGCCTACTGGATTTTGACAAAGAACTTTCTACATCTATTGGGATAATTATGTGATTTTTGTATTTAAATTCATTTATATGATTTATTATGTCTATTGACTTACATGTGTTTAACCATTCATAAATCTATGGAATAAAGCCTATTCAACCATGATAGATGATCTTTTTCATGAGTGTTTATGTGCCCATCCTACTAAAAGTAGTTTTCAGATTCAGTGTAATCCCAATCAAAATCCCTATGACACTTTTTCACATAAATAGAAAAACTCATTCTAGAATTCATATGGAAACACAGAAGACCTTGGATAGCCAAAGTAATTCAGAGCACAAAGGGAAAAGCTGGGGGATTACCATTCCAGTTCTCAAACTCTATTACAGAGCTATAGTCTTAAAAACAGCATGGTCCCCAAACAGACTTGTAGATCAATGGAATAACATAGAAGACTCAAATATGAGTGCAGGCAATTATGGCCACCTGATATTCGGCAAAGGTGCCAAGAACACACACTGGAGGAAAGAAAGCAACTTCAAAAAAATTGGATCTCCACATGTAGAAAAATGAAATTAGACCCATACCTATCACATGACACAAAGTCCACTCCAAATGTATCAGTACCTCCACGTGAAACCTGAAATGCTGAAACTATTAGAAGAAAACATAGGAGATACCCTACAAGATGTCGTTGCAGGAAAGGACTTTCTAA